TCATAGAGTTGTTCATAATATTCTGTTATTACCCTTTTAATGTTCATAGGATCAGTAGTGATGACCCCTTTTTTCTTTCTGGTATTAGTGATTTGTATCTTCTTCCTTTTTTTCCCTTAGTTAGCCTAGCTAGAGGTTTATTGATTTTATCAATCTTTTCAAAGCTTTTGGTTTTGTTGATTTCCTGCTTTCAATTTCATTGGTTTCTGTTTTAGTTTTTTATTATTTATTTTCTTCTGTTTACTTCGGGTTTAATTTTTTCTTTTTCTAGTTTCTTAAGGTACAAGCTTAGATTATTAATTTTTAGATCTGTTGACATAAAATTCCCTCTAAGCACTGCTGCCACTGTATCCCATAAATCTTGATTAGTTGTATTTTCTTCTTCACTTAGTTCAAAATATTTCTAAGTTTCTCTTGAGATTTATTCTTTAATTTATGTGTTATTTGGAAAAGTATTGTGAAATGTTTAAATATTTTGATCACTTTCCAGCTATCTTATATTGATTTCTACTTTGATGGTGGTCTGAGAACATACTTTGTTATGATTTTAATTTTTTTAATATCTGTTAAGGTGTGCTTTATGGCTCAGAATGTGGTCTATCTTGGTGAATGTTCCAGATGAGCTTGAGAAGAATGTGTATCTTGTTGTTGTTAGGTGGAGTATTTCATAAATGTCAACAATTAGATACGGCTGATTGATAGTGCTATTCAGGCCAACTGTATCTTATATTCTTGCTTGATCTCTCAATTACTTGGAAAAGGGGTATTGAAGTCTACAGCTATAGTAGTGGATTTGTGTATTTATCTTTTCAGTTCCAACAATTTTTGTCTCACATATTTTTATACCTTGTTGTTAGGTGCATACATGTTTAGAATGGTTATGACTTCTTATATGTAAGTATAGTCTACTTAGCAAGTCAAGAATAATCATATAAGATTAATACAAGGTTTTTTTAAAAATAAGACTATCTGTAATCTACAACCTGAAAACATTATTCACAATTTCATCAACTGTATTTTATAAATAAAAAAGGAAAAGATGCACCACTATTTCAGTTAACCAATCCTAAGTTTGGTGCGAAAAATTTCTTGTGAAAAACTTGGAAAGGATGGATAATGCCCCTATCATGTTACACAATGTTCAGACAAATTATACTAAGAGGGTAGGGACCAATACCATCATGATACTCCATCTACAAACAAAAGTATCTTTATTAAATAAAATATTAATTTAAAGTTCAGGTGATAAGTGTTCATGATTCATTTACAGTCATACTTCAGTGCTCATTGGCTTCAGAACTCATCAAACCCTGTACTTGGTGCTTACTTGGGACTTTTCGCATTTGCTAGAACTGGTATGAGCCATGATGATGCCCTGCAATAGAACATGCTTTGTTGTTCGGTACTGATTAGTTTTGGCACACCTCACAAGTTCCAGAATGAAATAAAGATAAATCCTGAGGTTGCACTGTATTTGAAAGGTACAGTAAGTCCTCACTTAATGTTGTCAGTAGGTTCTTAGAAACTGACTTTAAGCAAAATGATGTATATTACAAAACCAATTTTGCCATAGGCTAATTGATATAAATAAGAGTTAACTTCCTACTCCACAATTTTGGTCACAAAATCACCACCAATTCTACAAATAAAGACCCAAAACACTTCTAACATTAAACATTGAAATAAATGTAAGCTTTACATACATCTATGAAAAATTAATAAAAACAAATGGTATTTATTTTCGATCTTATTCATTCCAGTTCAGGGTCACAGAGAACAAGACGGAAACCAACCCTGGGTAGGATGCCTTTCCACCACAGGGCACACTCACACACACACAGAGACACATTCATATCAAGACAATTTAGACATACCAATTAACCTGGCATGTACATCTTTGAAATGTGGAAGGAAACTGGAATACTCAGAAAAAACCCACGCAGACATGGGGAGAATATGCAAACTCCACACAGATAGTAGTCCTGGATAGGAATAGATTTTTTTTCTCATAAACATTATAATGAAACAATATTGAATGAAACTACACTGTTCAAGGACCTCCTATACCTATAATTGATTATCACACACTACCTGCAAAAAGCTTGTACAACCCAGATCTACTGGAGGGAAAAGACATCTCAAACTTGGGAAAGTTATCTAATGTTTAGAAATGTCTAATAATGATGTTTATTGGTCACTTCTCCCTAAATACTTGGCTACTATAAGGAAATTATTCTACCTACTAGTCTATTAAAGATAATCATTTGGAGACAAGGCTCTACTCACTGAATCAAAAGTGGTTTTTGAGATACAGAAAATGTGGAGTCAGAACAGCTATAAAACTTGGCTCTCACGAGAGTCACAGAACCTTGTTTGTGAGATTTAACCTTATCCCTGAACTGTAATGCAAAGTTGGACTCAGTCCTTATTCATAGTATTCAACTGGAGATGTCTGAAGGTCTAAATTTCCTAGACTGTCATCTAAAGAACAGGAATGCAGGGAAGGAATCTGCTACATTCAATAGTATTAAAACTGATATTGAGATTTTAGCTTATACCAAAGATGGAATAAGAAGGGGATTGCTTTTACACTGCCACTTCTAGAAACACCCCAACCCTGCAAAAAAAAACAGTAAAAATTATGAAACAACAGTTTTCAAAACACTAAACCATCAGGCAACAAAGTACAGCTATTCCTGAATGATGGGAAACAAATGAGATGACCCTACAGTTGCCCTAGCATATTGCTTTGAGAGTTTCCAGTCTGTGGCACAGGAAGGGTGAAGTCAGGAGGAGCCAGGTGGACTTGCTGAATTAAGGAAATGGAATTGACATTATATAATGACAAACAGATCAATCCACCAAGAAGATATTGCAGTTCTAAATGTGTATACACCATGCAAAAGTTGAAAAATGTATGAAGTAGGAAAAAGTGAACGAACTGAAAAAACAAAGGGACAAACCAAAATCATACTTGGAGAATCAAACATCATTCTCTTAGCATTAGAACAACCAGACCGAAGCCAGCAAAGATATAAAAGAACTCCATAGCACCATCAACCAAAAGGATATAATATTCCACAATAACAGCTGAATATAGATTCTCTCTAAGTGATCATAAAAACCCTAGGGGAAACCCAAAACTCCAGGGCGAGTTCTAAAATTCTGTTTTCTGTATTAACCTGGGGCACATGTAGCTGAATATGGCTATGCAGCTATAATCACAGACAGGGTACCTTATTCAATCTTAGAAAATACAGTTTAGACAGCCCCACAAATAGAGAAATTTGGGAGTACTATATGCCCTTTATCAAGACATTAACAATGTGACACTTGTTTCACAAAATGCTGATTATATTTCTGTAGAACATTATTTAATTTTCAATGGCCTTTTCAACTCTTGTTATTAAAATAGAGAGAGAACATCTTTTGGGTACTACTCTTTTCTTAACACCTTGTAAATTCTCATTGCTGTAAGAAGGCCTTTAAAAAGAAAGGCCTTTGTGGGCAGCTCCATTAGATGAGAAAATAAAGGGGTGGGAAAGGCTAAGGCTGGAATAAGACAAGAAGCTAATGAACATCTGATAGATTGAGAGGTTATACTGTGACTATTTGAAACCACTATTCCTATGTACAAAAATCCACAGGACTTCCAACAGTTTCTATCACAAAAGTGCTCCGTTGTGTAATACAGTTTTAAATTATGGCCAGAGAATGAGGGCACAACAGGGGTACAGCCACTCAGAGAAACAGTACCATTTTACATCCCCACCATCAATCAATATATGTGCGATCCACTTCCTCTGAATCCTCACCAACATTTGGTATTGTCAGTAAATTTTTTAGCCATTTTAATAAGTGTTTTATGTATTATACATATTATAAATAAACATGAGATTTTTGGGAAAACTTTGAGTTCAGAAACTTTGAGTTTAGGTTTGCCACCTGGAGCCAGTGTTCAGAATGCAAGGTGAGGGGCACATCTATTTTGGAGGAATTCGTTAAACAAAAAAGGAAAACAGGTAAGTTGGGTTTAGAATAAGCGTGGGAGACCCTTGTTCTACAGTAACCAAGGAATATTAGAGGACTTGTTCTTTTCATGAACTCAAAGGTAAAAGAAAGAAGCACAATGTAAGATCAACACAGGAGTTTTTGCCAAACAAAAAAAGAGGGGAGAAGTTCTGCTCTTAGAAACTTAATCCTGGAAGAGAAAATTACTTTCCCCTAAGTATACGTCCATTTGGTTCCAAAAGCATCAGCTCTCCAACTACAGAATGGAGAACTATTTTTTTCAATAGTTGCACCCTCCTTCCTCCCTTCCTCTCTCCCAGCTCTTAATGTAGCACAAGGAAGCCCCACGCAGAGCTGAAGGCGCTGCACAAAATCTTAAGATGTAAATACGTGCTTGAGCTGCTTTAATAATAGTGTTCAGGTCAAGGAAATAAAGTGCGACCCCATATCTTCTATAAATGAATCCTCACCTGCAGAAATGAATGCAGTGTGAGGCACCATTCTCAAGAAGGCTGTGACAATCCATCATGATATAAACGGAGTTGGATATTCTGCATAAGGAATTCGAAACCAAGTCAGTGTAAAAGGAGTCGCACAAGAGGGAGTCTGGCTCGGACAGTACAGGTAGGAAGGAAGAACGTCTCTGTGCACCCAGGATGAGGGAACTGGGCCTGGGCGTTGCCGGACTCCGGCCTCACTAGCTGAGAGACGCGCCGCGAACACGTCGAGAACACCGGAAGTGGCTCGGTCAGAAGTGGCCCAGTTGGGCGACGCAGGCGGAGGCGCGACGCAGGCGGGTCTGCGCGCTTTCCTCCCCCGCCAAGAACCAGGCGGTCGCGCGAGTGTCGAGCTGTGACGCCTTAGTGGTTGCCGGGGTGCGGCAAGGGGGGGCAGGGGGTTCGGAGACCCGCGGCTCCTTTCTTCGACGCACTTCTAGTCGAGAGCGGGCGGCTGCGACTGAGCCTTGGGCGGCCGTGGGGCCGAAAACCATGAGGCCCGGGGGCGCGGGCAGCTCCGCGAGACTGCTGCTGGCTGTTGGCTGGCTGTTTCTGGCGGGCATCCAGTCCGCGTGCGGGACCAATGTCACCGCCCTCCAGGATCCCGGTTTGGCCCGCGCAGAGGGCGAGGGCGAGGGCGAGGGCGAAGGCGAGGGCGAAGGCGAGGGCGAGAACCTATACGAGAACCAGAGCGAGGCCGAGGAGACCGTGACCGACACCGGCGAGCCTGAGCACATCCCCCCGCCTGAGACCGAGGAGGATGGTGAGGGTGGGAGGATCCTTGGTGGAGACAAAGGCACCTGTTCAGGGCAAAGCCCAGCTCTTTGTCCCAGGACAGTGAGAATGATCCCTGTTAATGTTTGTAGAGCTCTTCGGCCAACAGCCCCGAATTTATACATTTCTCACACACATAATGGCCTTGAAGAAAGACACGTTAATTTTCCAGGGACACAGCAAGCTGAACAATCCCATATATAGAAGTTGCTACAGAGGTACTGCTAAAAAGATTTTTTTTTTTGAGTGGTAGGCGTCAGAAGTGGTCTTTCACAAATTGAAATTATTTTGACCCCCTCAGTTTTTCTTCCCCACTGCAGTTTTTTTTTAAGTTCTAGACGGTTTGAGGTCTTTCTTCTTTTTATATTTGTGCTTTATGTTAGAACACAATGGAATTCAGAATTTCCCTCGTTGTTACACATCTAGGTAGATCAATATGCTGACAAAACTTCCCAAAGTCCCATGTCAGCGTCTTGCAGCCCCAACCTTGAGCATCTCTGCAGCTTGGTGGTTTATTCATTCAATTTCCAACCGCAAAGGAGTAATGGCCTTAGAAAACACCTATCAAGGGATCCAACTAGTGGCTTTGTTAGATGATAACATGGTAACCAAGGGAGAATGAGCTTGTGCTTGGTACATAAATTTGCCTTATTCTGCTGGCTCATTAAGCAATAAAACTTGACACGCTGTTGTACATGTTATATTGATTCGTAACTCACATGCTGGTAGGTAAAAGGTCAGTTGCAGGTTTGCAGCCATCTAGAGGAGAATGATTCCCTTCCCTCATAAATGACCCAGCTGAGATTCTTCTAATATCCTTGGCAGTCTCACATCTTCTATGCATATAGAGTAGGTGCTATATTTATCAGCCCTTCTTTTATTTCCTGATGACAGATAGTGACCCTCTGTGACAGAAAGAAATTAACTATCTGAGGTTAAGGGTGGAACCCAGGTTTGTTATTGCTTACTACATTACAGAGAGCTTGGAGAGGTCCTTGACTTTGGAAATGTGAAAACGGAAAAGGACTAGAGAAGAGAACAACATGTTCTAAAGCATAGTAGCTACTGCTTCACATTCGTTTTAAAAGTAATTGAATTGACACTTTTAGTATTAAACTGGTCAAGTGATAGTTCTAGGTGGAAAATGCTAAATGGAGTTTAGGGTAAACCTAGGTAATGGAATTATGCCTTAGATTCAAATTCAAATGCTGGAAGGTTATTTATTCTCTCAGTTTTCTCCATTTCTTTTTTGGTGAGCTTCAGGGAGTCCATGTCCTTCTGGAATTTTATATATACAATTTCACGCATAGCTGCTTTTTCCTGGAGAAACTAGAATCCAGAACTTTAAATAATCTGAGGTGTCCAAGATCTGAATATTTCCAGGTCATTATTAGAATTTCGTGAAGTCCCTCTTAATCCTCAGTGGACCAGTATAAAAATATTCAACACCATTTATGATCCATTGGACATTTAGGTTATTTGTTTTTTACTTTTAAGGTGTTTTACAAACAACTTCAAAAGGAAGAATAAAGGCACAGTGAAAACAACTTATTTGAAATTTAAATAAGAATTTAAATGTGGAAAACCCCAAATTTTTAGTTCATTTTTCCTGGTTTTGAAGATGTATGGATGAAGTACTTTGAGTACAACTAAAAGCTCATCAGTTATGCATGAATCTGAAATACATCCATCTTGTAAATACTGATTCCAGATTTCAAGTACATCTTTAATAAATTTTTGTTATTATTATTACTCTTGTTCTTTTTGCACTTGCATTGTCAAAACAATACTTTTGAAAATTATGAAGGCACATATTTTGTTGAAGAGAAGACTGCCATATTCTTTCTCTGTATTTGCAAAAACATTTTCATCTTAGATTTATAAACAATTAGAATTATTGGTCCAATGACTTTATTCATTTCTACATCTCCTGTTTTTTTCCCCCACTCACTTTTGTATACACGCCTGCCATTGATTTGTCTGTTTACAAACCTAACAAGTAAATTTTGGTATATAAACAGCTTTAAAAAGGGAGGCATGCTCTCTGTATCCTTTTAACAAAACAGTATGGTCTGGCTCATTTTCACAAAACATTTCAGGATCAAGTCCTTTCTTTTGAAAGGACTAACTGGATAAGAATGTCATGTATCCTTTTCATTCTTAGAAATATAATGTTAATTCATGGATTCTTGAGTTAGAGAATTCATCTAGGATATTCATTTAAGATATCATCTCTAATTTTGCTTATGCGGTCAATTTTACCATCAGCATTAGCATCCAAAGTGTTGTTATCTGTTTCTCTATGTTCATCTTCTGATTCATCCAATAACTGTAAAATATTTTCTCTGTCAATATTCTTTTCTTTGCCATTAAAGACAAAAGGAAGTAAAAAAATTCTAAAATCTCAATTGTGTTCAATGAAAGCTGAAAATAGACTATGAGAAAGGTACCTCTAAACTTCTTTTATATCTTCCTGAAAGATGATATGATACAAAGCAATAAGAAAACAAAGGATGATGTAATAGCTGATTTATTTCACAATTATGTCATCCTTCTAGGCAATTCTAACTATTCTTCCATTTTATTATTTTAGTCTTTTTTAAAAAACATAGTTGGGAATAATTGATAAGTAAGCCCGAAAACCATCATTATGTTTGATGAAATAACAAAATGTTTCAGAATATAGGAAAAATCACTGATATTATGATACTATAAATCTAAGATTTATAAATTTACTATTAACTTTTATATTTATAAAAGTGACCAAAAACAGACCTAATAGTCATAAGGTAGGATGAGTTTTATTTTATAAAATGAGTTGTATCCTATATAAATATAACTATACAGTATTTTCCCTTTTTCTTTGGAAGTCCTCTAAGAAATTAAAAATCATGAACTACCAACCTTAAAAATCAACTTTAAAAAAAGAAACTAAAAAATCTAAATTGAACTCTGATGGTATATACCAACAGTTAAAGTATCCTGTCTGAAAGTGAAGAGAACATTTCAGGATCTGGCCATAATTAAAAAGCAAGATTGTTAGCTGTGTCATTATGGACCCCAAGCTTTTATCAGCATAGTCTAAGACCCAGTAGATTTTTAGGGAACCCTTGTTACACTCTTGATCCCTATTAAACTCACTATTGAACTCTCATTTTCACCTGTGAAGTATTCTGGGGACAGTTGACTTTTCAGCTCTACATACAAGACTTTATTTCTCTATGGTTTCATTTTGTCAGATTTGTCTAGTATTCTGCCCTGTCATTATTAGATCCATATTTATCTTTTAACATATTTACTATCTTTTCTAGTTTTGCAGAGTCCACAGATTCAGTCAGCATGAAATCAGCATTATCAAGTCATTAATAAAAATGTTGACCAGGCCAGAGTCCTGTGACACATGACTCCTACCACATTGATACCACTGATTAATTAGCATCAGTATATCTTACTATTTAAGAAGTTACACATAAAATCATGCTGATGTGCAGATCATATTTTTCCTTTTTCCTCATAGGTATATAATGGGAAATTTTGACAAATACTACACTGAAGTCCAGACAAATATAATTTCCCTGACCAATTATTGTAGGATCCCCATCAAAAAGGTCATGAATGACCTCATGGGATATCAATAATCAAAGTTGAAAGGAACTTTGGAGACAACCTGATTGAATCTCATTTTTCTTTAAAGTTAGTAGAAGTTAAGTAAGTTTCCCAACATAGCATAGATAGTGACCAGTAGAGCTGATTAATTGGTTTTTTAAATGTTTTTTGAAAAGAAGCTTTATTTAAAAGTAATCTAGTACACATTTTCCTACCTGTGTTTTCTATGTTCAAGATTTGGCTTTTAATTTATATTTCATAGTGTTTCAGTAGAAAGTATCTAATCCTTTCAAGTAAAAATATCAATTCAAAATTGATCATGATAACCCAAATAATTTATTTAACAAAGTCAATATTTAATACATCTAATGCTTTCTATATATTCAAGGCACTGCATTTGGTGCATATATGTATATAATAAAAGTGTTCATGAAAACACTGTCTTGCAGTCAAAAATAGAAAAAAATCTTACAATTATATGAAATCAATAAGTACAAAAAAGTGTGAATGAGGTTATATCTTAAGCATTTTTATAACACTAAACAAGTTACAGAATGTTTTCACACACATTCCCTCATTTATTGTTACAATGGTTAAATGAGGTAGGTCCTCCTCTTTAACTTTTACAGAAGGGTTAACTGGACCTGACAGAGTTTGAGTAATTTACTGAAACTCAAAACAGCTAATTAATTAGTGGTAGAAGCAGCAATTTAGACTCCAATTGCAATGGATTTTCCCATGCAATACTGTTGCCTCAGGATATAATATCTTTTAAAAATTGTCTTCTAACACCTCATTTAATATTTTTTTCCTTTGAGGTTTTAGTCCTAATCTGAACTATAAAGTATTGGTTATATACTAAAGCCAGTGGAATTCATGCAATACTTCAGAACAATGAGAAAAAAAAGAGGCACCTTTTCATGTGATTTGAAAACAATATCTACTCAAATACTTGTATATTCCTAGATTATCCTGCTAATAAAGTGTTGAAGTAAATTCATAGGAATAATTTACCATCTTAAACTGAGAATGAATAGACTCAATCTATATCACATGATTTTAATGAACACTTCATATAAAGACTTCTGTTTTGGACAAAAATGAAACACTCAATTTTTTTGGAAATAGAGAATTGGAAAAAAAAATTGGGCCTTATGATTAGCTGGCTTTTTTGTGTTTTTTCTGACCTTCTATAGAGCTTGAAACTTACTGTGTATTAAACTAATGAAAAATTATTTTTGTTATATATAAGGTTTAATATAAACTTTCTTTATAAGTTATTTCTTAATTTATTAGCTTAAAGGTTTAAGCTTCTTTTGATTTAAATAATAATAGATGTACTTGGAGTAGTATTGCTTTTCTGATTTAATAAAGCTTTAAAAATGTCTGCTTCCCATATGATAAGTAGTTGTGTTCTCCATTCCCAAATAAGAATCTTTCACTAGAAAAGTTTTCATGTGATTAAATGATGTGTCTTTGTGTTTTATGTTTAGTTTCAAATATGAAAGTAGTCAAAGAAGTAGAATATGGGATGTGCACTGTTACATGTGGTAAGTAGCATAGAGCACATAAACAATATTGTAATTTGGGGGGAGGAAAGGTAAAAATAATGTGACAATTTTTTATTTGTAATTTGCATACTCTTATTCATCCTTCATTGATTTCTGTTTCTAATGACTGTAATTCACACACAAAACATAATCTGATTGCTTTAGAGGGCTGGATGTATCAGTTTGTAATCTCTAAGACTTATATGAAGCCAGCTCCCTATATTTTTTGGCACATGCACTGCCTTCACCAAAGTACAACTTTATTTCTCTCACAAATGTTCAGAAGGTGAAAAATCTTGTCATGCATCTCACAGATGTCTTCTCACATACTGTGTTGGCAAATCTATCAAGAAATTTGCTTATTTTTAATAGTCTATACTAAATTCTACATTTCTCCAATTTATACATCTTATTGTGGAGAAAAGAGATATTGGTTTTGTGGGGGAGATAATATTCAAGGACTATGGCTTATTTTGATCATTCCATAAAGAGAAATTGGACATAAAATCTCTGACATGGTGAAATTAAGGCAACACATATTCTAAAATAGACCAGTGTTTCCCAAACTTAACTGTTCACCCTAAGTTCCTGAAGGACTTCTTGAAACACAGGTTGCTGGGCCTCCTCAGAGTTTGTAACTCACTAGGCCTTCGGGGAGGCTGAGAAATTTATATTTCTAAACAAGTTCACCAATGAAGCTGATGCTACTGGTTAGAAGACCATCTTTTCAGAACCACTACAGAGTAGCATGCTGAGAAAATAGATAATTCACAATGAAATTAAGTTTGTTTTAAATGGAATCTGCCTTGAGGAAAAAAGAGACAGTGATGGAAGGGAAAGACAAAAACCAGAGGGTGAAAAGACATGAAATCCATGCAGATCTAGATCAGAACAATATTTTTTTGGTCAAAAATTATACCTAAAATGTTTGAGATAGCTTTTGTGTGTGAATGTGTGTGGAAAAATATACCTAACATAAACATTTTTACCATTTTTAAATGTACACAGTGACATTAAGCACATACATCACCAGAATTTTTTTATCATCTCCCCAAAAACTTCTGCATGCATTAAACACTAACTCTCCGCTTTGCCTCCCCCTGAGCCCTGAAAACAACTGTCCCACTTTCTGTCTCTTGAGATAGCTTTCAGCCTGTTTTTTTTAAACCTTAAGTTCTTAATGAATGAAAGAAAATGAGAAGAATCCATTTAATAAACCTGTGATTATTCATTTGCAATTTATATCTTTCTTCTGTTGCTTGAGACATTTCCTTTTTTTTTTTTAACAAGTAATGCTTGCTTTATTTGGTCACATTGTTTTTGATATGGAAATAATTTGGCAGAAGATATTGTGGAACTCGTGGAGTTGGGCACTTAAGTGGGTACAAGGGGAGACATTTTCATGAGAATGATTTTTATGACAATTCTACTAATTGATATATTCTCTTATGCTATTATTTAAAAATGTGCTTCAGAAATTATGCATTATATATATATGTTCATTCAACAAATGATTTTCTGTTTGGGGGATTTTAGATTATTTATTTATTTAGGTCTACAATGTGCCAGGCATTGTTATAGGTGCTGGGAATACAACACTGAACAAAGCAGAGGAAGTTATGCCTTCAAGGAGTATATATGTTAGTTGGGGCAAAGTGATAAACAAAAGTAAAATATGTGATATGTCAGATGGTGATAAGTTCTAAGAAGAAAAAATAAACCGGAAAAGAGAACATTTTACATCTAAAATATTTTTTAAATATTTAAAAATATTCAATTTATGACAACTATTTAGAGGAAAAAATGCTTTAATGAAAAAATTTTTGGAACTCCCAAAACAATATTGTAGCAGTGAAAAAGTTTTCTTTTTCTGGAACACACAGGCAGATTTTTAAGTGTTACTTGGACTTAAAGAAAATCTCACACCTATACACATCATTGCAGTGAACTGTATTTGGCTAAATAAATAAATACATAAGACATCTCCTTGTAAAGCTTTTTATGCATTTCAGAATAAATGTGTACCTCTAGAGAGGTACCTTTCATAAATTCAAGTGGAACCATACTGTAGTCCTTCTTAGGCTCCTCTTTTAATCAAAATAGACCTTTCCTCTTTTGAACTTCCATGTCCTTACTTATATGGAATCCTCTCCATTGCTACTCAAAATTTGGTCCAGAGAGTAGCCACATAGCCTAGGAGCTTATTAGAAGTGTAGAATCTCAGAGCCTACTGAATCAGAATTTCATGTTAGTAAGATCTCCAGGTGATTTGCATGCATACTAAACTTTGAGAAGGTGCTATTGTAAGCCATCTCTAGATTTCAACTTCTTTTTGTCTTTGAGAATGGATTTCATGATTAACATCTTGTAAATCATAAATGAGGGGTTGGAAAAGGGATTCTAGCAAATGAAATCGAGATGGATAATTCCTTAATCTGTGACTATACAGTCTTGTCATAGGTCATGTCCACTTAAGAAATATACAAACCTGTAGAGGATTTTTATGAGTTTATTTGGGCCAAACTGACAACAATTGCTGGGAAGCAAAATCTCAGCAGATTGAGAAAATGCTCTGGAGAATGCCAGTATTGCAGCTTATTTTATACATTAGAATAAAAGAAGGAGACTTAAGGACGGTGCATGACTTCCATTGATGGTAGATTAAGAGGGCAGGAGAAAGCAAAGTGGGGAATTCTCTGCGACTGGATAAAAAAGGGAAAAATAGGGAAACATAATTCTTTTACATTGGTGGGTATAGGATAGTCAGTAATTAGCGTTTACAATACACAGAGATGGTATGGCAGGAGCAGGGAAAGGGGACGAGATAACAATGATGGTTCTGTGGTCTTGTGCTCTCAGGCCTGCAGTTGTGGCTTGAGGGATCTGGAAATGATTACTTTGACATTTTAAAGATATGTTATCTTACATGCAGAAAGATAATAGGCTCACTAAAGGTAAAGATTGACCATTGTCAAAGAAACTACAGGCCTAAGATGTGTCTACCCACCATGATTTGTTTTTAGTTAGGAATTTTTATGTTCAGACCATCTTATGTAGATAGTTTGTAAGGCCCAACTACAAGGCCATCCATGCAGGCTCCTCTGGGCTTGTCAGGTTTGGTATGTGGCCCCCTTTTCATCTGCAGTTATTTATCCCAGTACATGTTCAACATGTTGCTGATCAAGCATTTTATCATCTCCCTCAATTCTGGTGATGAAAGACAAACTCAGTGGAGATTTGAGATCAGTTAGTAAAGGATGATATCTTGTTATAAAAATGTGTGGCAATTCTAAAGAGAGTATCTTGTTGGAAATGGAGATTTGATCATTAATAGTTTTTCCTGCTATATTTCATGTAAAATCTAAATATTGAAAAACTTTATTTATGTTAAAATGTAATTTTGGAATTTCCCCCAGAAGCTTCAAGCTCCCTTATCCCTCCTAAAACTATGGTCAAATAAATTTGGGACATTCTATGTACTACTGTATTTCATTCAATCTAAAACCTTATTGGCTGTAAGAAGCATAATTTATGCACCTCCATAAAGAAAAGTACTGCCAATTTGTGATATGCCACCAATTCTAAGATGCATTCTAATTTCAAAGATGTTAAAATGTAAAACTTTTACATGTTACATCAGTGAAAATTTGTGCACAATAACATGTTAATTTATTAGTATATTAAAATTCTCCCCAAAATTCTGTAGTAAAAATGTCCCTTTAATTTTATTGAATGTATCATCGGTAAATGTATATAATCATGGAATTCTTTTTCTAATGGTAACATCCAGAAGGGCTCATGTTACATGTAACTCTCAGAAATGCTGTTTTATGAAATAATTCAAAATGAGGGGCTTAAAAAATTTAAATGTTATCAACCAGAATTTGGGAATTTAATTTCTGAAATTAGGAGAAAAGTCTCAAAAAAGACTTAGATGATAAAAAAAGTTCTGTGGAATTCACTTTTTTTCAAACATTTGCCAATTTCTTTTATCAAAGGTGTTGGTATTAGAGAAGTTATATTAACAAATGGATGCCCTGGAGGTGAATCTAAGTGTGTTGTACGGGTGGAAGAATGCCGTGGACCCGTAGACTGTGGCTGTGAGTTGGACTCTATTGGAGAGAGACTGAAGGGGGTAGAGTTTACTCTGGGGAAATATCCTTAACCTCAGGTTGTCATGAGTGGAATTGATACACTGAAAGGAAATCATAGTAAAACTTAAAATTCCACTTCTCTAGATAGTTATACCTCTGAATAACTTTCTGCTTTTTCTTTACATTTCTCATTGATGTCTAAAATTTAACATATATTCTCTCTGATACACTATAACCTTATTTTACTGAGTCTGTGGTCAAGACTATCCTATAGTAAAATGCTTTTAACACTTTGGTCAGGACATTTTATCAGTAGATTGGTAATCCTAAAATTTAAATGATGTTCTATATCAAATTACACTAGTTTGAGAGTTCATTATATCTAGTGGGGGTCTGTAACCAGGAAACTGGAAGCCACTAGTAGATCTCAAAGTCTCTAATAGAGTTTGAGTTGTTTGCTCATACTATATCTCTTCTCCACAATTTATTTTGCAGAAGGAGCAGATAGCTATGGTATCTCCTACCTTCTTCTTTTGGTGACTTTATCTTTTATCCATCACTCCTCCCTGCTCTTCTTCACTCAAACTCTCAATAATAAGTTTGATAACTTCCAGCATAGAATTGATTTTAAGATTGGAGGTGGCTTTTAAAAGTAGTATTGTTCATAAAGTAATCACGTAATTTACACTGCTCAGTGGTATTATGTATTTAATTTTTTTTCAGGGGGTAAACCACTATCAGAAAGTCTTGATAGTGTCAGATTGACATGTGTTCATACAACTCCTGCAAATCGTTTCAAATATGTTTGGAAGCTTCTAAGGCCAGAGCAGGTGAGCAATGAATGTATGTAATTTGGTGCTCTCTAGTGAGTGGTAAAATGTATTTCTCAGTGCTTGATGACTGTCAGAAACTTTCACTTTAAAAGGAGTTTGCAAAAATGAAGTTAAAATACTTTATTATTATTGGAATTTAATTTTTTTATTATTTACTCACTTATGTTTTAGGATCAACTATTATCCAAACTTAAAAAATATTCATTTTTTTAGAAAGTATTTTATTTTGGAAGCAAGGTTTTCATTTGTACACATAGGAATTGTATTAATGATAATAGTCAATGACATTAATTGAGGGCTTATTAACTGCCAGACATATACCAAATATTTGTGTTTCTTTTAACCTACATAACTATTCTATGAAGTAATTTCTATCATTATACCCATTTTACAGATAAGCAACTGAGATGCAGAGAGTAACTTGTTCAGGGTCACACAAGCAAGAAGTGGTAGGATTGGTACTTGATATCTGGATTGTCTGACTCCAAAATCCATGTGCATAATTTACTGCCCTAGACTGAGAGACAGTGACTTTTTTTTTTTTGGTTACAGGAAATAAAATTGTTTCCTGATCTTAAGTTTGCATGTCGAATATTGATACTTTATTTCTTTTAAAATAGCAACCCATTATACTTGTAAATGATTCAGCAATCCTGGAAGTACACAGGCAAATTCATCCCTTGGCTTTTGAGTGTGATACCTTGGATAATAATGAAATAGTAGCATCTATTAAATTCACAGTCTATACATCAAATGGTAAGTGCCCAGCAATGTTTTGGTTTGCTTATCTCAAACTTTAAAGAGTATCAGAATCACCTGTAGGGTTTCTTGAAACACAAATGGCTAGTCTTACTCTCAGGGTTTCCAATTCAGTAGATCCCTAGTTCTCGGACAGGGCCGACACAAGAATTTACAATTCTAACTAGTTCCCAGGTGCTGCTGGCAGAGATCACAGTTTGAGAACCACTGGTTTATATCACTTACACTTTTCTACAAAGCAGTGCTCCATTTCTTTTTCTTAAGGTGAAGTCAGACGTGCAGTACTTGGGAAACTGATGTATTCCTGAAATATCCCTGAAAAACAGTCCTCTAGCCTGGATTATATTCTTACTTTTACTTCTATCACAAAAGTAAAAATCAATACCTGGGATTCTCATGAATGCTCATAAAAATTTTGGTACAATTAAATAAAATTAAGAAGTGTTATATCAGGGCATGTCTTAAAAATTACTCATTTGAAGAAAATATTTTTGATGAAACAATCATAGTCATCAATCTGTGTCAATCACAAAAGGCAAATCTTGTCCTGAACATAGTTTCACATGTCAGAAACTGCTTCTCTTAAAAAATGGATCCATGTACATGTCCTTTTGATTTAAACTGTGATGTCTTATATATCCAAATAATTATTTCCACTAGTTCAGATTTCTTAACCATTTTTGTTGTTGTTGTCATCTTTGTTATTGGGAGTATGGGGGTTTGGTTACAGGGTTTTTTAGAATCCGGTCAAGGCTCAGGAGGCTTTTCCTTGGAAAATGCCCGCAGATACAATCATGCCAAAAGTTACCTGTAATTTTAAAGGGAGTTCATGGATTTCTTAATCCCAAGGAAAGAATTTATGCTGTAGTCTTGAGATACATATTGAATTGAAAACAAGCTAAACTGTTTTGGGGATGGTTTTAAAAAATAAACTGTAATTTTCTTTGGTGTGTTATGTAGTGTCCTTAAAAAACCATCTTGATAGTGAAAGCTAATAATCTTATTCCTGTGTTGGGATATCAGGTGTTATTAAAAAGATAATTTCAATAAAGTGCTGTAAAAGTCAAAAAAGAATCAAACACTGTCAAACTACAAAATAAACCAGTGAGTTGGTTATCAAGGTATAGATTTCAGGAACCATTCTTGGTTTTTGTCCCCATAGACTGGCCTTTGTTAGGACTGCACACTGGTTAACTCCTCCCATAATCAGAGGGCGTCGTGCATTTGACTGTGTGTAAACAGAGGGCTGGCACACAGACACCGAAACGTCAGCCCTTAAATGAGACAGAGTTGACTTCTCTGTCATGGCAGTTTAGGGCTGGTGGGGTAGCTCTGCCATCTCAATGAATTCACTAGTTAAGTGATAAAATGTTTTCAGAATATTTTGGACCTATTAGTTTCTTTTAAAATGACATTTGGATACACTACTGTGACAGACCCTTTGCATGTTTAGACATCAAACAAATGTGTTGGTTATAAATGTCCACAATATGGTGCTGGCTTGAAACAAATACAAAATTGAATATTTTTAGGGTAAATATGATTTAGTTAATGAAAATTTCCCATCCATTCCCTTGTATATCAGATTTTTCACTTCTATAATAGTTGTCCTTCATAATTAAGCATTTTTTTTTATTGAATTGTGTCCCCTAAGAAGATATTTTGAAGTTCTAACTCCCAGAACCTGAGAATGTGACCATATTTGGAAATAGGGTCATTGCTGATGTAATGAATTCAGTTAAGATAGGATCTTACATGTTAGAGTGGGACTTGAATCCAATATATCTCGTGTCTTTATAAGAAGAGGGAAATTTAGACACAGACAGAGAGGCAGAGGAGAATGCCATGTGAAGACACAAATACATTCAAGAGAGTTAGAGATGAGAGTTATGCCACCTCCACCTAGGAACACATGGGCTACCAAAAGTTAGAAGAGGAAGAGAAGGGACCCTCCCACAGAATCCTTTGAGGAAACATGGCATTACCAATACCTTGTATTCAGAATTTCAGCCTCCAGAACTGTGAGATAATAAATTTCCTTTGTTTTTAAGTCAAGTTTGTGGTACTTTGTTATGATGGCCCTAGGAAACTAATAAAACATAAGCTGAGTTTTACTAAAAAAAACGCAGCGTGTTTTTAATTAGAAAATTTCAATAGGAAATGCAGCCTTTTTTGTTTTTAGTTATAAAAGTAATGTAAATGAACCCTGTAAGGAGACTACTATTGAAATGAACTAAAATTTTCATACCCCTCATTCCTCACCCTATCTTGGCTAGTATTATAGGGTAGTAGATAAATGGAAAAGAATTTTGCATTTCTTCTCAGGTTTTAATCCAAAAGGATATCTTTTACTTGAGCTTTAAAAAATCTCATGGCTTCTATAAACCTAAAATTATCAAAACTAAAAAGATTTTTAAAATTCAACCATGTTGGACTATAAATATGATGTAATTTGTCTGTCATACTTGGCACTACTTAGTGAGATCACTAAACTGAGTATATAACTCCAGAATTACTAAGGAAAATGGAAAATTATGCTCCATGATGTTTAAAAAATAGAAAGAAACACTCAGACAATAAGCAGTTGAGACTGCTCGTACAGAAGACTACTTCTGATATAATGGTACTTACCAAAATTAAAATATAAAAATACATAAAACATAGCTTGCATAAATCATTAAACCTCCTTGGATGTTGATTTACTTACCAGTATGATTCAATAGTTACATCTGGTCATTCCTCAGTTAAGTCTTTTATGATTCTATGATCTGGGGACAGGAAAGAGCCATAAGAAAGTGCTATATAATGCACAAAGTAAGTAATACTTGATGTAAATGGGCTTTTCACCAATTTGCAATGCAGCAGTGTCATAACACATATGGTAGAATGGCTTTGTCTCTACTTGACTTATTTATAGGAAGAGCATAATGACATGGGAGAAGGTGCCTGAGTCAAAAGTGGTGTGTGGATACTTGTGTGAAAAACGATGAACTTCAACTGCTGTCTTACAACATGTACAAAGTCAGAGATTATTATTGTCCTAACTGTAAAAGCTAAACCCGTAAAGCTTTAAAAAGGAAACATAGGAGAACATCTGCATGATTCAGGAGTAGGCAAGGGATTTTTGGATATGACTCAGAAAACAATCACCATAGAAGAAAACATTGATAAATTAGGCTTCACCAAAATTAAACACTTCAGTTAATGAAAAGAAATCATCAGAAAAATGAATAAGCAGCCAAAATCTGGGAGAAAAATTATAAAACATGTACAATCATTATGAACAGTTTAAGAAAAAATCTTGCAGTCTCTCAGAAAACTTAGTGTACCTCTACTCTGTAACCCTGCTGTTCCACTCTTACATGTTTATCCAAGAGAAATGAAAATGTGTGTTCACAGAATGACTTCTCCAAAAATGTTCAGAGCAGTTTATTTATAATAGCCCCAAACTGGAACAGCCAAGATGCCCATCAATAAGAGAATGAATAAACAAACTGAGGGATACTACTCATTAGTAAAAAAAAAAAAGAAAGAAAGAAAGAAAAGAAAACAAACCTATTGATGCATTTGCAAATATGGGTGAATCTCTAAAACATCATACTGATTTTTAAAAACCCACACAAAAGAATACATACTATACTTGCATGTTTCCATTCCCATGAAGCTCTGGAACAGGCAGAACCAGTGTACACTGGAAGAGAAAGTCAGAATAGTTGTTGCCTCAGAAAGATGGGGCAGGGACTAACTGGGAGGGGCTCAAGGGAACTTTCTGAGGTATAGTAATATTCTGTGTCTTGATAGGGGTTTAAGTTACATCTGTGTTTGCATTTGCCAAAGTTAAACAAATGTACATTTAAGATCATGGTGTAAGTTATTTGAAATTTTACCTCAAAAAGAAAAAATATAAGCAAATAATAAACTGTAAGTAATTATATGCTACTTGAAGAATTTTGCTGGGAAGTGTGCAGACATCAGTGAATTTTTCTGAAATGCATAAAAAAATAAGATGTGATAGAAGAATAAATAGATGGATAGTAAAAGGTTATTGGTAGTATCCAGTGGTGGGTACCAGAATGTTCATTGTCAAAGACAAGTTCTTACATATCAGAAAAGGACATTTTGAATGTGCAGAGCAAGTTAATTTATAACTTTCTGTCCACTAATTCTTTCTGTATATTTCTAGGATTGTTTTTCAGACATAAAGTTTCCATTTAGCTCTGTACTTACTTTTTCCCAGTAGTAATAACCATCAGGTATGTGTTTTTCCCTTTAGAGCTGCAGATGAAAAGATCAAGACGACCAGACACTGATGCAGTCCTGGTTTTTGTGCTGACTATAGGAGTTGTTATGTGCATATTTGTGATCTTTGTACTGATCTTCATAATTATAAACTGGTAGGTGAAGGGCTGAAAGTGAGTCTCACCTTGGTCGATGTCCTCCTCTCAGCCCCTCCCTTGTCAGATGAATCCAAAGCCTTGACCACAATGCCTGTCACATGTGTCTTCAAACTAACTCCCTTCATTCCTGCTGCGACTGCCCTCAGACAGGCTACCTAATCTCTTGACTTGCCTCCCATCCATGAGAGAGCTTCTAAATGCAGTTTTTACAATTTTACATGGTAGTTGCTTAAACAGTTTTGTTGAATAAATGTTTGTCCAGTTGCAATTACCACAACCACTAACGTTGGTTATTGTCACCTACCAATGTATTTATATGAGAATATTTCTAATACCTATATGAGTATTACACTGAATTACATTGAGGACTCTACTATCACAAGGCAACTGATGTATCACACACTAAAAATAAATTGTGACTAAGGAGGCACTTCTATATTTCTAGAGAGAAAATTAAATGTTAATCTATTTTTAGTTTTTATTTCCTATAAGAGATATTTTCTTTTTGTTTCTGTTTAATCTCCCAGGGCGGCAGTAAAGTCTTTCTGGGGAGCAAAAGCCTCAATAACTAGGATGCCTTCTGAGAGGACTTCATTGAAACGTAAAGATTCAGCTTCTCTGGACCGATCACCAGCAGAAACAACTGGACATGAAGATGATGCTTTAAGTGAATGGAATGAATGATGTATATAACAAAGCAAAGGAAAGTAGGGCATACCGGATTCATTGTTATAAAAATAAAATATATAGTGAAATACTTTAATCATATTGCAAGTGATTTACCAGCCTGAAGGTAATATAGTATGAGAAGGAGCTGTTTTAATCAGTACATCTTTGTAGTAGACTTCCAAAACTCTTTTAAATTTATTCTCTAAGTTTCACAATTCAGGTAATCATTGGTAACATTTATATAGAGGTGCAAACACACACAGTCTTCCAAACACATTTTTGGTCACTGTGATTATATCTAAGATGATTTGCCTGTTCTGTCTCCCCAAAATAAAAATATAATATAGAAGAAACCTTGCATAGTAGACTTTCTCCCTCCCTGGGGTACTGGATTGAACTTGCTAAACCCAACCATATTTTAGAGTCTCTACAATCAAGACACATTAAGCATCATATGTAACACATGAAATAATAACAATAATAACAATGATAAGATTTAGTGACTACTACGTGCCAAGCTTTTCTGAAAGCATTTTGCGTATCAGGTAATTTAATCATGATTGTATATAGGAAATAAGTAAAGAAGAACCAGGGAGGAACTGGAAATGGCTGAGTAAATGACATGAATTTAACATACCCTGTATTTCTCACAGAAACAGTGAATTAAGGACTTTTAAATAACCACTAAGTACAATACCTTCATTGTGTTTGATATGTAGGAGATAACATTTTAAAAGCCACGTACTATTTCTGAACCTCATCACTGGCTTTCTATCCTGTATCATTATGTGTTACAGTTATGGACAACTCTCAGACAAGATACCAAGGTATTAGATAATTTGATTATGTAGACTTTATCAGAAATTAATTTCCAAAGGTTATGAAAGTAGTACAAAATGTACTTAATTTTTAAATGAATTCTATGCCAACTTTATTGCCATTATGTGATTTATCTGATGATAGCATGGACACTCATCTCTGAAGAAGACATTGTAAATGGGCATTTATACCTCCCCCTAGGAACCTAGAAATAGTCTGTGTTGTGGAATTATCTATTCTTTCTATCATATAGCATGTGTATTTGAGAGAAACAGTGAAAAATGAACCGGAAAAAGATTTTACCTTTTTTACTGTTGTAGGAATTTACTAGAGACTTTAAGTAAGTGAAAAGAAATTGTTTCCACAAAATATTCTACTTTTGACACTCCTCTGTACCATTTCCCCCCACCCTCAGATAAGTATGAAAACAAAACCAAAAGGAGCCTCCCATTTTTATTCCTGATTGAGTACGATCATGCAGCTTTACCATAGGTGGTGAACATTCCTGAATAGTAATTATTATCCATTTTTATTTTTAAAACCATGAACAGCAGTGATTTTAAACTATATTTCAATGACCACCAAAAATTCAACAGGTCAACAGGTTTTGTTGTCAGTGATGTTCAGTGAATATTTCTGTCTGTCTACTTTCCAGGCACATGGTAGGACAGTACCTCCTCAGTCCTCATGCTTGGGTGGGGCAATGTGACCAGGTCTAGCCAATGAGTTATGAGCCAACATATCAAGTGTGACTTTCAAACTAGATCATTTCGCTATGAAAACCTCCAAAGCTCACTGTTCGTACACACAGACACAGGGAAAATCTCTAAGACTGAAAATCTACCTTTGTAAACAGAAGGCAGGGAAAGACCAAAGAAAGAGGCTGGCCACTCCAGTCTCATAATAGAATTGATTAAGGGAAATTTATGGTACATATGAGGCATGTCTTGGGAACCTGTAAGACAACATGGATCCCTGGGCCACTTTTCAGGTGCCAGAGAATTATATCGGGTGAAGATGGGTATAGTTGCAGGTACTTGTGTGTGAATGCTGCCAGGTACAGAAGTTACTTTTCATGCTTGACCAGGTCAGAACAACCTGTTCCAGGAACCAGCACATAGCAGGAGGAAGGGAAGGGTGTTGATTTATGTCAGAAAAACATCAGTTATATTCAGACAGTCTCTAAGGGGAATTTATGGAAAGCAACCTCTGTTATGGCCTGAGTCCAGCTCGTGGGAGAGACAGTGGTCACATAATGGAACAGTCTCTCCTCCACATTCACCTTCCCTGCCAGAACAACAAAAAATGCTTAGATCCCCATGTGAGGACTGCATGGCACGGGATCTCCGGTCAGCCAACAATGAATGTGGAGCAGGAAAGAGAAATAAACTTTGTTAATTTAGAGGTTGTTCAATACAGCAACCTCCCTAAGGTTATTCTGAATGACACATAAATATTTTCCAAAACAGATGTTTTCACAGTCAAGCAAGCTGAAGACTTCTTTAGTGCATGACTGCCCTTTGATGTGCTATGCACATTGTTGCTCTCCAAGAAGGTGTCACAGGTGAAATATTTCCAAAACTCTCTGATGGTCTGTGGGACAAAATTAAAGCATACATGAATGTTAATACTACATCAACTTAGAAATACAGTTTTGAGCAGGACTGTCTGATAGATCTGCCTACAAGGAGTCAGGTCTCAGTGAGCTAGACTTTCATAATGTACAACGCACTGGAAATCAGCAATGCACCTTGGCAATAGTAGGACTTTTCCTCTTAGGTCTGTGGGTGTTACTGAGACCTTCTAGTGGTTAAGACTCACCTTGATGGCCTTTGTTAGAATCATCCTACTCTCAAGACCAGGGGCTCTTCTCCCATAAGGACTATGACCACATTGCATATGTTAAAGTAATTGATGACCCTTATATTGAAGTAGATTATAATATGCTCCAGGTTTCCATGAAATCACTTCAGGTCTCATGAAGACCCTCTGTCATTTGCCACTTATAGTCTGTACATCGGGGGGATCTCTCCCTGCCGTAGTTTATAAGGTCTCTACCATGCACCAATTAAGATTAATGGGGCCAGTCATTTTCCTCTCCAAGGAAACTAGGCCAGAGACATTTTCCAATTCCCATCTAATCATATATTCCAAGCATCTGTTACTTTTTCTGGTTACCAACATATCTACAGGGAAAATCTTGGAGTTTGCACCTGTATCTCCAAGGTAAGTAAAGCCAAGCGATTATATAACAAGAAGAGGTTTTCCTTTTGGAACTCAAGGCATCGGTCTCTGCATATGGAACAGCAGGGTTTGGTGAAGTGTTCAAATAATACCTTACCAGGAGAATCCTTCATTCATCCTATCATTCAAATGGCATTCATTAAGCTCTTCCTGTACTAGGCACCAGGAATATAGTTTGTGTAAAAAAGGAAAAAAAGAGAAGATCCCTCTTCTTTCTTTTGGAGTTTGCCATTTATCCAAGAATCAGACATTACAATTAATGACAACTGGAATGACTACACTGAAGGAAATCTGCAAGTTTCTGTGAAGTTGTAGTAGGGAAAATGACAAAGGTGATTTAAGCCTGAATAAGAATTACCCTGGTTAATGGGGAGGTGGCCCAGGCAGAAGAGCAGGTGTGAAGTGTCTGGATCAGGAAGGAGCATAGTACATCCTGAGAGAAGAGTGGCTGAGCTGGAGTTCAGAGAAAGGGGAAAAGAGTTGTGGGAAATGAGGCTGGAGATGTGTGCAGGAGCAGGTGGTGCATGTGTGTGTACACTTAAAACAATGTAGCCAAACAACCTTAGAATACATATCAAGGGAGTCAGTGTTGAAAAAATTAGCAGTCCTGATTTTTTTTGCTAAACCATATTTACCCACACCTTCCTGGAGTTCACTTGTTATTGACCTTTTGACAAATGATGACTGTCCATCCTTACCTTGTAGTTTATACTTTAGTCTAGGTTCTTTTTACTTTTTTAAAAAATATATTTTATTGATTATGCTATTACAGTTGTCCATTTCTCCCCCTTCATTCCCCTCCATGCTGCACATCCTCTCCCATCCACATTCCCCACCTTTAGTTCATGTCCATGTGTCATAAGCTCTTTAGGTTCTACATTTCCCATACTATGCTTACCCTCCCCCTGTCTATTTTCTACCTACCATCTATGCTACTTATTCTCTGTACCTTTTCCTCCTCTTTCCTCCTCCCACTCCCCTGTTGCTAACCTTCCATGTGATATCCATTTCTGTGGTTCTATTCCTATTCTAGTTGTTTGTTTCTTTTGTTTTTGTTTTAGGTGTGGTTGTTAATTATTGTGAATTTTCTGTCATTTTACTATACATGTTTTTTTATCTTCTTTTTCTTAGATAAGCCCCTTTAACATTTCATATAATAAGGGCTTGGTGATGATGAATTCCTTTAACTTGACCTTATCTGAGAAGCACTTTATCTGCACTTCCATTCTAAATGATAGCTTTGCTGGAGAGAGCAATCATGGATGTAGGTCCTTGCCTTTCATGACTTGGAATACTTCTTTCCAGCCCCTTATTGCCTGAAAGGTCTCTTTTGAGAAATCAGCTGACAGTCTGATGGGAACTCCTTTGTAGGTGACTGTCTCCTTATCTCTTGCTGCTTCTAAAATTCTCTCCTTCATTTTTACCTTGGATAATGTAATTATGATGTGCCTTGGTGTGTTCCTCCTTGGGTCCAGCTTCTTTGGGACTCTCTGAACTTCCTAGACTTCCTGGAAGTCTATTTCCTTAGCCAGGTTGGGGAAGTTCTCCTTTATTATTTGTTCAAATAAGTTTTCCACTGGTTGCTTTTCCTCTTCCCCTTCTGGTACCCCTATAATTAGGATGTTGGAACGTTTAAAGGTGTCCTGGAGGTTCCTAAGACTCTCCTCATTTTTTGAATTCTTATTTCTTCATTCTTTTCTGATTGTATGCTTTTTACTTCCTTCTCATCCACTCCATTGATATGAGACCCAGCTTTTTTTCCATCACTATTGGTTCCCTGTGCATTTTTCTTCACTTCACTTATTGTAGCCTTCATTTTTTTCATCTAATTTGCAACCAAAATCAACCAATTCTGTGAGCATCTTGATCACCAGTGCTTTGAACTGTGCATCTGATAGGTTGGCTATCTCCCGGTCGCTTAAAAGTATTGGTTCTGAGGCTTTCATTAGTTC